GCGTTAAAAACTCCACAACTTGCCTATTTGCTCTCGCGTGCAAAGCCGCTGCCGATCGATTGTTTCCTCGGGACTACTAGCATGCGGAAAAATGGCGGCTGATATTGCGAATGTATTTAGGCCAGCTCTTACACGATGTGATCCCTACATCACTGAGATTGTCGATGCCGGCCTCACAAGTTGCACTGTACCACAATTCAACTCGAAGTCGAACGACATGGGCGGTAATCATGCTATGTTATTGTTTAACGTTCGTATGTAAAAGATTTCGATAGTACCTTTCTGCGATTCGGTGCGATTGGACGTTGTTTGTGTTGCTGCTTGGTTGCCTCTTCTTACAGTACAGCGTATTTGCTAGCCCAGCCAAACCAATATTGCGTACGCCCCCGCCAGGCTGTGTGTTCAAGAAAGACCGACATCTGGTGTGGTATTGCAGTCGTTTGTATTAGTATTAGGACTATTAGTACTGCCAGTTGGCAGACACACTACTCACTTATCAGTCTGCATTACAGTGTCATTTTCTCGCGCACGTATAGTTCATATTCAAGATGCCTACCCGTGACTCAAAGTTTTTGCAGTACTGCACGCCAAACAGAGTGACACAAACGTGTTCGCACACCACACCAATTACGTAGTTCGTAGAACTATAGCCTTTTGCTCTGGCCACAGGCAACGGTGGCCTCCAGAGCCGAGAAGGCTATTACTTATTAGCCTTCTAGAGCCCTAACCCATTACCATGTATGCTCTGGGTTCACATTCGATCTTGTTAAATGACTAGATTCAATATGCACAGGATTGACGCGACTGGATTTTTCTCGTCGCCGGCAACTACAATTGCGTCCGTGGTGTCGGCTGTCCAACCCTCTATAAAAAATTTATATTCATAATTGCGAGCGTTCATTTTACATATGGCCAGTGTTGCACAATACGCTGGCAAACGTACATGTCTAGACGCATTGTCTGGCCTTGCTTGATACAAAGCTATACAACATTACGTGTTTAACAACATAAGTTTCGTAGTTAATTTCAATTTTTGCTCATCTGCTGACTTGACACAGTTAACACGGCCTCGCTGGTTCCGTACTTAGTTGGTGCTGACGTTCGGCTGAAATGCGTTACACACGAGATACACGAGATTCGGCTTAGCGTGCGCTAGGTATAATCTATAGGACTGCGTACCCCGTCGACGTTCCACTACGCTACACTAACGTCATGTAGCGAACGGTACCAGGCTAGGTTAAGCGCGCCTTACAGCTTTTTCGCAATTCGCAATGCATTCAACAACGACAGACAATACTGCGGCCCAGCCGTGGCTGCCGAATATACGTGGCCTTACTTAGCGTGGAATGTGATTCTGCCGCTAAGTAAGCCGCGTATTTCAGTACGTACTGAATAAGCCGCGTATATTTTTAGCGTCTCGAAGTGAACGCTCAAGTACGGTAATAAAATCCCTCGAGTGAACGCAGCTATTGTAAATGTTATGAATAACATTTCATGCAACTTTTAATTACTATATTATACGTAATTGGATCCCAGCATCATTTACACTGATTACCAATATTTTCTTTTCTTCTATATAATGAGTAAAACAATGCGAATGGCCATGTCTGCTGTTCATTGCCAATACGTACAAAATATACATGATTTAGGCCTTTTGCTTTACAGCACTGAGCATCACCGTGAGGCAGAGCGCATGCAGCCACAGGTGTTTAACATAATATCCGGACAACCAAAACTCTTGAGCGGACAACCATATGCTACTCTCTTGGTTTGTCCTCCGCGAAACCCACAAAAAACCTAAAATTGGCACTGAACTGCGCCAAGTAGATGAGCATGCATAGTTGAAGCGCGTCTCCATGGCTGTTAAAGGCCTCACCAATGCGCATCCAAACGCTAATTTCTCCAGCTACTAGACTAAAAAGCAAATACTTCGGTCATGCATAATCACACTACCTTCATGACAAAATAAACTCTAGTTGCTCCCATTTCAACTGCGCGTTTGCTATAAAACCTACAAGAAAGAGGTGCAGAAAACTCACTCTTAGCGCCAAACGCCGACTGTTTGCAACAAATAGCCTCGAAGTGGCTGACGTGACGCTCACATGTTTTTATTTTTGCTGCGCCCGCTACCGCTCTACCGCAGCACCACTGCACGGTTGCTTTGGGATGGGGAAAGCTGTCAACAAAACACTCCAGAGAATTTCAACAACATTGAGAGGTATTTTAAAACATTCCTTTTATAAGACAACACGCATTGAAATGGGAGGAACTAGAGTTGTATCTTGCCATAAGGTAAGTGTGATTATGCATTGGACACGAAGTATTTTGCTAGTCTAGTAATGCCGAGAAGATTAGCGTTTTGGTATTGCGCATTCGTCGAGCCTCTTAAGTTCTATTATGGCAGTGTGGGCTGTGGCTGCATGGGTAGCCGGAACGTTCTTATGTTTGGTCTTTTGTCCTTTTTGTTTAATTTTTTGGTTCCCTTTGGCCAAATTATCAGCGCATCATAGAGAGAGCTCTTTTAGCGGCCAGCAAATTAATAAAACTGGGCTATAATTAATAAATAATATAATTGCTATTAATTAATTAATAAAGCCACTTTATCGGGGACAGTATGTGAAACCATGAATATGTCCCGATTAAGCAATGCAAACACTGTTCCAGGTCGCTTCAATGCATGCCTATTGCTACCTCACTCAGTCGTTCATTCACAACACGCACAGTACATACAATACACACGTTCAGTGTTTTCCACTGCAGCAGAAAAGCTGTTATGGCCTGCCGAGGGCCTATAGCCTCCTAAAAGCTCTGCAGGCCCTGCCTAGCAAAGCTGTAGGCCCGCCAATTGTGGCACAAATTACAGTAATGAAAACGCATATATGTTCTTCCTTGTGTTTATTAGTCATTATCAATGCTCCCATTAATCATAATCCCTCTAGTTTCCCTTCCTCTCAGTGGATGACTGTTTTTGCCTTCTTATTCGGTGGGGCTCACAATTAAGGAAACGCCACATCGTTGTTACTATGTAGCCTCCTTGGTAACTACGACTCTCCACTTTGACAGCACGAGAGACAGACTCGGTAGTGTGATACATATCGGGCGACTTCTATGGCTGGGTCTGCGGGCGCACAGAACATTTTGAAAAAATTATAAGCTCTGAGATGCAATCTAGAGCCATTTCAGGGTACTCCAATAGCTTACAACTAGCCCAACACTGTTTGGTGGAAAAGGAAAAAAATTCTGTAAAATTCACCTACTTGTAAATTTTGATGGGCACTGCGAGGTAATTCCGTCTGTGTTGAGTGTGTCAAAGTAAATGTATTTTGTAGACATACAGAGCTCTTACGTAAGGAAGCTTTTATATAGCTACAACCCTGTATAACATGTATATAGTTTTTCCAAACGTTAAAACAATATGACACGAGTGAAACCTGAGTTGGTGCGACGAGGCTGCTACTGCTGTTTGCATGACTAGTAATAATACGACGGTTGAGTAAAACTTGAGACACATTATTATTATTTAGGTTATTCAACACATGATATATACCAAATCTTCTTTAATATTATTTTAAAACAGTCATACTGATCGTTTGTAATAACTTACCAGTGATACTTTATTGTTTAACATCAAACGTGAAATGGCAGCGATTGTGAGACATTACTCGACAACCTAGCTGCACGTGAACAGTGAGCGTGCTGCACCGAAACCGTGCACGTAAAATTAAACTGGCCAAACACAATGTTAGGTTCCACTAACCACTGGCCAAAAAAATAAAGCTCCACCCACTTGTTATCGATTTTGTTGGTATGCCAACGCTGCTACTGGATTCACGAACCTGGTGCTAACCTCGTGCCGTTCGATCATCCCACGCACGTTTCTTGATGTCAACTAAGCTCTGATTGCAGTTACCACGCGAACGCAATTGTTTACATGTATGTCAACGGTTTATCACTCTATTAGCTTTTCAAATAAAGTACCCTGGGAAGTATAATATGCCATGAACAGAATTTCTACAGGATAACAGTTTCTCAGTCGTTCTCGAATTTTCTGGCTGATCAAATAGCTGAAGGATCAGCGGGCCTTGTATCAAGAAGCTGTAGGCCCGCATCGAAACTGTTCGGCGGCGGGCCGACGCCGAGCGAACGTGAATATCGCAACACTGCACACGTTTAGCGGTAAGAATGTATTCCCTGCAGCTCGAGTAATTTCAGAATCTACTGGAAACCTTTGGGAATGTCTCGTTGACTTTTTGCAGTTTTAGCGCATCATTTTTACAGCGTTCACTGAAGTTTGTTCTGCAGAACATATTCCCGTTAAAACCCAAGGACCTGATCCATTTATCTGATAAAGTAACTGCCTTATCGAAAGTCTTTTCAAACAAATATTTTGCTCTACGAGGTTTATTTTAATCCTCAATGAAGACTCAAAAAAGAAGGAACCTGTTTAAACAAACCAATTTCTATTGAATGCCGAAGTGATTATTTCCCGGCAAGCCAGACAACTAAGCCATGAAAATCAAACTAGCTTCTCCGGCAAAAAAAGCAGACCATAACCAAAAACCATAAAAACATTTACGTCCAAACCAGAAGTAAGGCGTTTAGGCGTGTGCGCGGCGCGCGCAGCCACAGGCGCCGAATACAGCGCGGCGGGACACTTCGGTCTGCCGCAGGAATTTAACTATGATCTTCACCATTGCCTTCTACGGCAAAGCGGCTAGAACCAGTGCTGAAAACGTTACAGTTTGTTTCTCGGCGGCGGAGATCTAACAAGAAAATTTGCTTCTTAATTCTTCCGGCTGCCGAGAGAACTAACGGATTACGGTTTTTACCGCTGCTTCTCTGGCTGCCGCGAGAAATAATACTAGCCTAAATAAATAATACCAGCATTGAATGAGCGAGAATAGTTCATCCGTGGATAATAACTCATCAGTTTACCGGAAACTTGTAATACAGCTAAACCTAGCGCCCATCGCCAATATGATGCTCTCAAACCCATGCCATCTTCACGTCCAGTTAATCGTATTTGAATATAGATTAATAAAAGTGACAACAACAAAAAGTTGGTTTGAACAACGACAGTTGAACTAGTGGTGTGAATTTAGTAGGGACATGAGCAACTGTTGTTGGGAGAGAGGTAAATGTCCCAGAACAGCTCTGCCTTGCCGCTAGCTCTCCACTCTGAAGGCACTATTATTATTTTTTGAGTAGCTCGTGCTCGAGCAAGCACGTATTTGTAAAACAAGAGTATTCGAACAAAATAGTCGTGTGTAATTGCTATTATTACAATGTACTTGATTATTGGTAACAATTATTACAACGTTTTGACACGTGCTGCACCTATGGGTGGAAATTCATAAAGCGATTGTTAAATATGTCGTTTGCAAGCCGTCCTTGATGATGGTTGGCTTTTGAAAATAAATGATTCACCTTGATTAAAATGACGAAAAATCACATTTCTCTTATTGTTGAACTATTCATATAATTTGCTGAGGGTATTTGTGTTTTGTAACCTTCGGGATTTTCGATTTATTCGATGATAGAATTGCCCTGGTATTTTGACCCTAGCAATTCTCTAGAATCAATCTATTTCTTGAACACTAATTGGTTCGTTGAACTCTGCGCTTAAGCTTCCATTGCCCGTGTTTCGATACAATAATGTGCACGGTTTTTCATTCTAGGAAAAAAAACGAACAATCGACGGAACCCTGTTTGTCTACTCAGCGTCTGTTATTTTCTGAACATGCATCACCGCGAATGATAGGCAAATTAACTTTTTGAACAAAGTCCCTCCCTGCAAAAAGAGCGGCCATCCGCAGTCTGAGTTCAAAATTACAAGATATTAAAAACAATAAACCGCATGTTGCTTATTTTGAAGATTCATGGCGGTTCACGTCATGCCCAAATTTTCTTGGACATTTTGCCAGATAAAAATTCGGTATTTTGCCAAGGGCCGTGCTCTGTGAACGAACTACGCTTAGTATGGCAAAATTTTCAGGGAGTCCGCAGTTAAATCAGGGATATTTGACTCCGGCCGACTCTCGTTAGATTTCGCCACCCTTGCTATCCACTATCTATCTTTCAGCTACGTTCAGTCACGGATATCCTGGCTTGTCATTTTGTTAATGAACTCTATGTGACACTGAAATGCAGTCTGTGCGGAGACGCATGCTATTGTTCCTTAAATATATTGGCCGATGTTATATATGTGAAGATGACGCTGCTTGAGAGCCGGCGGTGGGTTTGTTAGACCGTTATAAGCTCAAAGCTGGTTATCTCTCGGTTTGTACAGAGAGGTACCATTACTCAAAAACTAGGCAGGATGGGGATTGTTATGGTGTCTTAAACGGTTTTCCAATTTTCTGTATATGTGTAACACCTATACAGCGCACTGTTACATTATACATCATATATACATAATCTTACATATATATATAGTGTGGTGGCGCGTTCCCGTACAGCACTGTGCGCGCGCCGCGCGCTGTAAGTCGTGCACCATGCTTGCACGCGCGTGTGGTAACGACTACGCACCGTGCTTAACACTCACGCATAATGAGGAAGCAGCAGCCGCTCACATTGCTGCTGAAAGGGTTCGTTGTCGCTATCAAGGTACTACAGATATGTACCCGAGCTACGTAATACAATGTATTACACAAAGTATTCAGACTTGTACTACAGAAGTGTACCCTAACTCTAGCCCTAACCCTAACCCTAACCCTAACACTAACCCTAAACAGACTCGTATAACAAATACTAAAACATTAATACTAAAACAAGCCTAAAACTACCTCGGGCACATATCTGTAGTACCTGATACGACAACGACCCATCTTGCCGTCACTTCGTAATCGTTGCGTACCGTGATGTAGACTTGTATACGAGCCGGTGAAGCCGCGGTAGAACCCCTGTTTGCATAGCATACGTGCGATCGGCTGTCTTATGCTGTGTTGTGTATGCGTGCATTGCGCTCGTGCGTGACTGTGTGCGTGCGTTGGCGCGCGTGCGGCGTTGCTACATACAGTGTATCGTGCGCTGCTCGTTGCGTGTTGATGTGCTCGTGCGTGCATTGCCATTGTCATTGATCCTGGTGTGCCGAGTGCTCGTGCCGTGCGTGCCTGCGTGCGTGTGTGCGTGGTCTGTGTGCGTGGCATTTGGCTTAGTGCGTCGTGCGTGCTTGTGACTGGCTGCCCCATTGTTCTTGGCGTCGCAGTGCGTGCTGTGTTTGCTTGTGTTGTGGTGGTGTCCGTGCGTGCCGTGCGCGTGCGTGCGTCGCGTTCGGACCGGTCGCGGAAACGCGCCTCTCAAATAGCGAGTTAAGAACACGGCGCAGTACAGCCTTTCTGAATTAACTTAATAAATATGATGAAAGGGAGAGCAGATTTCGCGAAGCTGCTGAGGTGATTGCGGAAACTCGAGGCGATGGTGGGGGAGATTTCTGAAGCCGCGAAAGTGGCGACAGATTATAGACCTGGCGTGGGAGCAGGAAGCAGGTTTCTTGGAAGCTGGGTGGGGGGAGTGGGGAGAGATTTCCAAAGGCAGGTAGGAAGTAGAAGGTTCGTTGACGGCAGGAGTAGCGGTGTCGAGAGTGATTTCTAGCAACCAGCCCCGCCTCGTTCTTCCCCCGGGGGGGGGGGCCGATTCGCTGTATGTTTTAAGCGTCTGCTCTGCAGCGATCATCAAGTGGAACTTCGTCTAGCTAGCAATCGAAATCATGTTGAGGTAGAACCGCGAGTTATGGCGTTTTAACTGCGAGGACGCGAGACCTCGAAGCATCGTCCCGAAATCAATCCTTGCGCTTCTTACCGCCTCCTCCTCCCCTCACCCTCCTTACTTTCCCTCCCCCCCAATTCTCCTTTCTTACCGCACTCCTCCCTTCCCTTCCTCCCCCTTCCCCTCACCTTCCTCCCATCTCTCTCCCCTCCCCTCCTCCCCTCCCTCCCCCTCACTTCCTTGGCCTTCCTCCCCTCCCCCCCCTTCTCCCCTCACTGCCCTCTTCTCCCCTCCTCCACTCCTTCCTCTCCCCCTCCTCCACTCCTCCTCTCCCCCTCCCATCTCTCCCTCACCCTCTTTCTATCCCTCACCCACTCCCTTCCTCCCTCCCCTTCTCTCTCACCCCTGCCCTCCTCTCCTTCCTCTTCTCCCCTCCTCCCTTCCTCTCCTCCTCCTTCCCCTCCCCCGGCGTCGCACGCAAACCGCCTCGTGTACTCACGTGCTGCGCGGGCGTCCCAGCATCAGTCACGCGGACGCGTCGCCGTGGAGACGGCGACGACGTGCCCGGGCCGCCGCGCGTGCGTCCTCTCTCGGATGCTGCTCCTCTCTCTCCGCGCGCGCATGCGCGCGATCCACCCAGAGGGAGGAGGAGGAGGGCGGGAAATCCCCGCGCGAACGACGCAGGAGGAAGGCGTCTCCGAGAAGCTCCGATCTGAAGCTTTGTTCGTCGCCGCTGCGGTGCCCCCTAGGGGTCGTCGGAGGCGGTCAGGTTCGTAGTCCGGTCGGTCAGCTGGTCGCTGACGCGCGGGCAAGAGCCGCAGATGCTGTGTACAGAAACGAAGTCACTAATGAAAGAGAGAGGAAGCCACTACTGAAAAAGAGGAAGACACTGTACAGATAGAGAGAGGGAAGGGTGAAGCCACGGCCGCTGCGTCGTCGTCGTCGTGGCCAGACAGCCAGAGAGCCGCCGCCGTGTGTGCGTGCGTGGTCGCGGATGTGTCGGTAACCACTGCCAGCTATGCGGCGTGTGGTGCAGGTGCGTGGCCCCGGGGAGGAGGGGGGACGGGGCGCGCACACACGCAGGCTGGCTGGCCCCTCCCTCTCGCAGCTGCAGCTACGGAAAAATCAATCTTCGTCGGCCACCGGTGTTACTGCGAAGGTACACGAGAGGGAGGGACGGCTTACTCAGAAGTAGGAGTTATTATCCCTAAGGAAGACTCCTCCTCAGGTTCCTCTCCTGACATCCGCTAGGTGTCCTCTTCCCTGACGTCATTCGAGTGGTGCTCTCAAACATCTTATCTGTTTATCTCTTTACCTGGGACTGCCGGTGAAGCGTGATCTTGCTCCGCCTGCGTGTTGGACACGCCTTGCCCCTCCACATTGCTCTGCTAAATTGTTGTTACATTAAATCTTAGGAGAGAGAGAGCGTAAGGCAGTTGCGATCGCTACGGGGGGGGGGGGCGGTTAGGGGCGGAGATTGGGGGTGGTAGCCGCACACGTGGTTAATGTTAGGGTTGTTGTTACAGTGTATCAGCGGAGAGCAGCGGCGGCGGAGGCGGGGTTTTTTTTTGCCGGGGCGGGGCCCGCCATGGCGATCACTCGTTCCTACGCACCTGTTGTGCGCGGCGGTCGGCGGTGGTCGTGAATTATTTAGCGCCCCCTGGCAGTGCATTCACCGCAGCCGCCGCCGGATCGACACAGATCAATCGCAGCATGCCTCCACCGCAGAAAGGAAGAAAGGGAGAGGGGGAGGGTGTATCTAGGGGAGAGTGGGGAGGAGGGGAGAGGGGGAGGGGG